TTATAAAGAATATCATGCCAAAGAATTTAATGCTCAAGTTAAAAACATTAAGTAAAATACTTTTTATTTTATAATTAGTTATTCTACATTCCACTTATGGGCAGTTTTCGATTCTTTTGACTAAGGGGCTTCTCATTGTAAGACAAAATGCCCAAAGGGGTACACAAATCAAAAAAAGATTGCGAAAAAATTCTGTACAGTACCAAAAAAAAACTGATTTGTGTTGGTTTTTAAGTCCCAATCTGTCATGTCAGAGATGGCCAAACAAACTTAGGTGGTTTTGCAAGAAGATACTTTGACTTAAAAAAAGGATTTTTTTCCCTCTTCTGTCTCCAGTTACATGCTACGTTCATGAATTCTGAACTCATTATCTAAATGCGATCTGCTGGTTTTCCTCAGAAAACTTTTAACCGCTCTGTCTAAAGGTTTTAAATGAAGTGTGTAAAGAACCTTAAAGGAATAGTACACCCAAAACATGATTAGCCTTCATTTTCTACTCACCCCCATGCTGAACAACACTCTGGAGTACTTTTTTGATATCTCAAATGCATCTGGAGATCTGGGAGGCTTCTTGCTGTCTGCTGACATTCAAATAATGGAGGTCTATGGTGACCGAGGCAGAAAGGTCCAGAAAAGTCCACAAAAAACGTGTCAATATTCCTCCATACTGCTCGTCCAATGTATTCCAAGTGTCCTGAGTGGGTAGCGTCCATAATTTACTCGAAACGAAGTCATTTAGAATGTTTTTAGAGCATAAACAGTAGTGTATAGGATTTCCTAAAAGCGCGCGCCTGTGCGTTCACGACGCTACGGAAACCGCGGCAGACCAAACCAGATGAAAGTGCGCATTTAGCGTCTGCTCTGCCGATAATGCAAGCGTAGAAGAAGAAATGTGCTGTTTACCTGTGCAAAAAAAGAAACAACGAAAGAAAAATGTCTGAGGACTTCAGTGTTGAGGAAGAGCATGAGTTCTTTGCCGAGCTGAATGCGCACTTTCATCTGGAGACAGCAAGAAGCCTCCCAGATCTCCAGATGCATTTGAGATATCAAAAAAGTACTCCAGAGTGTTGTTCAGCATGGGGGTGAGTAGAAAATGAAGGCTAATCATGTTTTGGGTGTACTATTCCTTTAAGAAAAACAAATGTGTTTAAGTTTAACGTGACTAAATGTAAAAACTCAATGTGCATCAATACTTTTATAATGGTGCTTTAAAAATGTTTGCACCTTCAACACTTATCAGAAGGTTAGGGGAAAAAATAAGGCATGCGGATATAAGTGATTTTCCAGTCTGAAATCCTTCTTAAGATCAATAAAAACACAAAAAAACATGTTTTACAGCTTGTTCAGATGGAAAAACAGAAAGAGCCCCAAGGCACTTTCGTTCTTCACAGGAGTGTCTGAGTTGCTGTTAAAAGGGGGTGAGCAGATGCTTCACAGTCAGAAGGAATCACTCTTTCTCTGCCGTGCAGATGGAGGTCCTCACACAATGCTGCAGAAACAGCACTTGCCCAGCATTACGTGCAACAAATCAACGTGACTCACTGTGTCATGTTATTACTCTTGTCTGAACGCACAGCACCTGGGGAACCCAATGAGAAAACATTTCGGTCTAGACGAAAGTTAAGAGATGGAAACGCTGCAGCATCTCTGCACAGCATATGACTCTGCTATGTTCTCTTTACCCTGCTGCAGCCTGCTCCTTTCTTCTGTAGAGCAAAAATAAGACTCAGCATAGATTTCTTTATAAAAATCTACACTTCGGCTCACAAGTAGAAACTCACTTGTCATGAAAAGGAATGCCATAATTCAGATCTTTTAATGATGCATTGAACCATTTTTTCCAAGCTGTAATGATGATACAACAAATTGTATGAATATATCATCTCACTTAGGACCAAAGTTATACATACAGCCCTTGAACATTCCAGAAATATTTAATCACTGTTTCATAGGTTATGCTGCTTAGCCCGGCAAGCTGGGCTCTGATTCATAGTCCATTAACTTTTAACAGTGTTGAGTTTGGAACATTTCCAGAAGCTTGACATTAGAATGCTTTATCGTCTGTAAACCTGTGTTGGTGTGTGTTTGGAGTCACTTTCCTGTTAGAACCACTAATGCTGTCCAGGTTTCAACCATCTGATCAAAACTGTCCTCATCAACTTAGAGGAAATTGGTGAGAATGTGTTGAATGTGCTCACACACGCAAAAAAAGAATGAAACCGCTTTTGACATTTACTTATCATATTTAGTGACTTTAACACAATTGTTTTATGTCATACCCTGCTAACATGAGACAGTTGTGTTAAAGTAAGTAAATATGATTAAATAAATGCCAGAAACGGTTGCATTCGTTTTTTCATTGCAGCAAAGAGAAGGGAGTTTAAGGAATCAAGGAAGACTGCTTAAATTGTGAAGTATTGTAGATCAGGCGACCTGTCCAGGGTGTACTACGCCTCTCGCCCGTAGACAGCTGGGATAAAGCGTGATAGAAAAATAATGGATAGATGGATGTAGACCAGGCATGTTCAAAGTTGGTCCTCGAAGGCTGCTGTCCGGCAGGATTTAGAGGTTTCCCTGCCTCAGCTCAGCAGACTTCCACTGATTAACAGTCTTTGGCAAAACTGCAATCAGAATTAGCTGTGCTGAAGCAGGGAAACAGAAAACCTGCAGGACCGACTTTGCACATTCCTTGTGTTGATAGTATCATGTTGATCGTCCTTCTTAGTCTCAGCAGTGCTGGTGTGATACACAGACTGGATACTCTAATGGAGAGGAGGACTAGCTCCTAATCAATTAACCTCTGTTCAAATCAACCATTAGACAATTGGAATTTGGCTAAAATAGTGTGTTACACAATAAACACTCATCCCAGCTGGTGTAAGAACAGACAAAAAAGGCGAACCAAGAGCTTCTGTGAATCTCAACTTCATTTAAAATTAAGACGCATTGTTTAAAACCTGATTTTGTTTAGGAAAAGCAATTTCTATTAATCCACTGATATAAAAAGCATGCAGTTTCTCAGCAGATTGTTAAATGTATTTAGGAAAAAGTCTGTATGCACATTAAAGGTGTACTTATAGAAATATTTGAGCCTGTGTGGATCTGACAGAAAACTTTTTAAAACACATCCTGTTGTACATTCTATTGACCGGTGAGTCACCTCAAAATGAGCAAGAAGACAATTTAAAGATGTCAATACTATAAAACATGTCAACAATGAGTGTTTTTAGACATCTGACCAGAACTGTTATCAAAGAGCCGTGGAAAAACAGTTTGGGGAGTTGAATCTAGAACAGATTACTAGAGAGGATCTAATTTAGTCATTACTATTTAACCAACCATGCAATTTATGGACACATTGTCCTTAAATTCCGACGGCCCAGACATACCACCAAATCTGTCTTTATCTGGACATCAAACTGTAAATAAATCCAGAAAACATCGATTTCCCATTCCTGATTGTCCACATAAACTTAACCAAACTGCACCAAAGGAACTACTGTATAAAAAAAACAGTATCTATCATTTAATGCTGATACTTGACTCACAGACTTCACCATTTGCAGGTAAGAGAGGCCTTTAGCTGCTTAAATGTCACATAATGTTATCTCTTTCAGCTTTGGAGGGATCTTTATTAAAGCACTTCTCAGGAGGGCAACAATGGGTTTAAATGTCATCATTCTGTAGCCGATCCGTCTCACAGAAAAATGCCTTCCTAGGTGGTTTCATAACATTTCTAACATAAAGACAATGGAGATCTGTTTCTCTCTGGCGCCCATAAATCTGTTGTTTTAATGCCATTGTGCACTTATGGAACTGGTGTTATTGAGTTAAGGCACTGATGTATTGTCTCTGTTTTTAAATGTCACGATGCCCACGCAAGCCAGCTTGTTATCCATTAATGAGAAACATCTGATGCTCAGTTTGAGGGTCTCTCACAAATAGAGTGTATGTTAATGAATCCTAATTAAATGAGCAGCGTAAGCAATCTGTGTTAAAATATTATTACTTTCTGCTAATAGCTCAAAAACACGTAAGGGCCAAAATGATTAGCATCAACCCACCAGTTTAAAGTCAGTAACCGCAAACTTTGAAATTGCAGTCCTGTGTCACCTGGCCAATCCACTGAAGGAAGCTAAATATTTCCAGACAGAGCAGGACCAGATGGTGCATCTGCTATCCACGAGCCCTCATCCTCCTGATAAATGCTGTTTTTACATCAAGGTAAAGGTTATGTTTGACAACTACAGGTCCTTTAAATTCATCCTTTGATTTGTATCAATAACTGACAGGGAGTGCATCTGATAATGAACATCCATGCACTGTAGACATGTATTAGATAGATAGATAGATAGATAGATAGATAGATAGATAGATAGATAGATAGATAGATAGATAGATAGATAGATAGATAGATAGATAGATAGATAGATAGATAGATAGATAGATAGATAGATAGATAGATAGATAGATAGATAGATAGATAGATAGATAGATAGATAGATAGATAGATAGATAGATAGATCAAATGAAAATACACTAGTTAAAATGGATTTAACTACATTTTATTGCTCGCTATTATTTGCTGTTAGCTTTGTAGAAGATATAGAAGAGGAGCTTCATCACTGACAGCCTGAAAGAGGTAGAATTATCAGCATGATTTTATCCAAGCAGCTAATGAGAGATCCAGAATTTCCCATTGGACATAATATAGGTCAGGGCTTTTTATTGGGGTCAGATTAGTGTAATTCTACTTTAGTGCATGCTCTATGATATGTAACTGATCCTGCTCTCACTTGCTCATTATAAACATTTTAAAGGCCAACTAGAGAAATAAAATAAGATGCATTCTTTTCTTTTAACATAGAAGCAGTTCTAATATTTTACAGTACTTGCAGGGTGGGATTGTCTCTAAAGGCTGCATCACTTAATGAGTGGAGTTTCCCGCGGTGGATGGAGGTGCTCTGATAATAATAAATGTGGAAGTAAATTACACTTACCCAAAAGAAAACAAAATAAAAGTTTCAGTGCGTCGAAGTGGTTTGAATCCATCACGCTGAGAGGAGCGGGATCAGCTGCGGGGAAATGAGATCCTAAACAGAACCATCATTGAGATCTTCTCAAACGTTATAAAACCCGAAAACACGTGACAGGTTCAAAAGAGAGACACAGGAAAAGAAAAAAGGAAAATAAACAAAGAGAGAATATCAGATCCAGGAGCGCGCCTCCTTCCAGTCACAGAGGCGGTCGCGGCTCTCTGAGCCGTCTGGAGTCACAGCTCAGGTCCTGCATCTTCTGACAGCAGAGGCTGCAGGGGGAGGGGAGGATGGCTGGGCTCCACCACAGCAAACATCACTGGAGTTGAAAATGAACACCCAACAAAATGCAAGTAAAAAAAAATAAATAAATATATATATATATAATATATATATATATATATATATATATATATATATATATATATATATATATATATATATATATATATATATATATATATATATATATATATATATATATATATATATATATATATACGTATATGTATATATATATATATATATATATATGTATATATATATATATATATATATATATATATATATATATATATATATATATATATATATATATATATATATATATATATATATATATATATATATATATATATATATATATATATATTCAGATTACTGCACGGTATTGATCTTTGTAGAAACATTGTACAGTACAATATTTTATTTTCCAATTTTTATTTTTCCATAACGTGGAAACACAATGTGGAAGCTCATGTCCAGGATCATAGCGGCTAAAATAAGCGGGCACGTGGATCAATACATGAGCATAGCTCAGAAGGGAATTGGCAAATACACCAGAGGTTCCAAACACCAACTCCTGGTAGATAGTGTAATGGTTTCTGCACTGATTCTGGCCTGATCACTGAGTCCTCGCACCTGCTCTGCTCCACTCATCTGCAATCAGCTCTGACTGGAGTCACCTGCTTCCAGCACTTTAAAAGCCCCATCAGATCTGTCCTCTGTGCCAGATTATCTCAAGCCAACCAGCTACGAATAATCCAGCATCAAGGAAGAACCTGACCGCCTATCTGTTTCCGACCCGATCTGCCCCCCGACTCCGAGCCTGCCCGAACCGTTTGAATCTGCCTGCCTGCTTCCCCCTCTCTGGATCCCTGACTCTGAAAAGCTCCGCCTGACTGCCTGCCTCTCCGTCCTGGATAAAACCGTCTCTGTCTCATTACAGAATAATCTGGCCAACATGGATCCATCTCCAGACGATCAGTGGCGTGCTGGCGTGGAGAGATCTATTTCTCAGTTAGAGGCTGGCGTCAGTGAGATCCTCTCTCATCTCCGCGACCAGGCTCCTCCAGCCGCCTCACTTCCGCAGGCGTCAGCACCTGTCACCGCATCACGCTCACCGCAGCTGTCAGAACCACGCCTGACCCCGCCCGAACTGTTTAGGGGCGATCCGGACCAATGCCGAGCCTTCCTCACACAGTGTGAGATCCAGTTTGAGTTACAGCCATCCGCATACCCCTCTGAACGCTCCAGGGTTGCATATGTAATTTCCCTGCTGACCGGTAAGGCAAGATTGTGGGGAACTTCTGAATGGCAAAATGACTCTGATATCTGCCACTCATATGACGATTTCTCCCAGGAGATGATCAGGGTTTTCAGCCCCGTGCTACCATGCCGTGAATCCACTAGGGGGATAAGTCAGTTTCTGAGTATATCATTGACTTTCATCTCTTAGCAGCTGAGAGCCGCTGGAATGAGCATGCCCTGATGGATGTTTTTATTACTGGACTAAATGAAAAAATTAAGGATGAACTTGCCACCCGGGATTTCCCACGGTCACTAAAGGACTTGGAGGATCTGGCAACCCGGATTGACCTTCGACTTATGGAACGTCGAAGGGAGCGCCAAGCTGCTAACCAGTTTCTCCCCAGGTCGTTCTCTACTCCAGCAGAGGCTTCACCCCTCCCAAGCGCAGCTGATCCTGAACCCATGCAATTGGGCAGGAGCAAGCTGTCTACTGAGGAGCGTCTTCGCAGGCGTAAATTAAACCTCTGCCTGTACTGTGGAGCCGTGGGTCACTACATTGGCACCTGTCCAGTAAAAGCCAAGGCTCAGTAGGGGGGGGGAGATCCCTCCTGAGCCGCACTACACTCTCTGTCTCCCCAGACCTCTTGCTTCCTGCTACCTTGACCGTTTCAGCCATAGCACATAACCTGTCTGTTCTTATTGATTCTGGGGCAGACACTGAATTCATGGACGAGGGGTTCGCCAGAAGTCTGAACATTGGACTCCTCCCGGGCCCGTCACCTCACAGCGTCCTCGCCCTGGATGGCCACCGGTTGAACCACTCCCACCTCGTCACGGAGCCGGTGGAACTGCTAGTCGGAGGTAACCATAGAGAGACTTTGACCTTCATAATCATTGACTCCCCTCAGGTTCCTGTTGTCCTGGGTGTCACCTGGCTCCGGAGACACAATCCCCTGATTGACTGGAGAAGAGTGGAAGTCATGGGTTGGGCTCCCTCCTGTTCTCAGTCCTGTTTGTTGTCTGCCCAACCTCTTTTAATTGCAGAGAATGAGGTGGAGGAGGTTTACCCTGACCTTTCTAAGGTCCCCGCAGACTACCATGATCTAAAAGAGGTTTTTAATAAGTCCAGAGCCACAGCTCTACCGCCTCACCGCCCATTTGAGTGCAGCATTGAACTGCTTCCGGGAACAACCCCTCCTAGGGGTCGACTCTACTCTCTGTCCATACCAGAGTCCCAGGCAATGCAGAAATACATTAATGAGTCACTCAGGGCAGGGATAATTCGTCCTTCTTCATCCCCTGCTGGTGCTGGGTTTTTTTTTGTGGGGAAAAAGGATGGGTCCCTCAGACCTTGCATTGACTATAGGGGGCTCAACGAGGTGTCTGTTAAGAACCGTTATCCACTTCCCCTTATGAACTCGGCCTTCGACCAGATCCAGAGGGCCAAGATCTTCACTAAATTGGATCTGCGGAACGCTTACCATCTGGTCCGCATTAGGGAGGGTGACGAGTGGAAGACTGCCTTTAACACTCCCTCTGGCCACTATGAATATCTGGTCATGCCTTTTGGCCTAACAAATGCCCCAGCAGTTTTTCAGAACCTCGTTAATGAGGTTCTCCGTGACATGATTGGGCAGTTTGTTTTTGTCTACATTGACGATGTTCTAATCTATTCTGAAAACCTCTCAGCCCATAGGGAACATGTCCGTGCTGTCTTACTTCGCCTTCTCCAAAACCAGCTGTTCGTTAAAGCAGAGAAGTGTGAATTTCATGTCACATCCATGACCTTCCTTGGCTTCATGGTTTCCCCAGGCCAGATTTCTATGGGAAAAAGAATCTATATATATATATATATATATATATATATATATATATAGATTCTTTTTCTTCAGATGACAGTATTAATATCTTTAAAAACATTGTACAGTACAGTATTTTTTTGGTTCTTTATTTTTCTAACATTTATTCTGTTAGTTTTATTCACTTTTTAAGGCCCATATTTGTGTGATCATTATTGCTGTAATGCATTTGCTACTGTAACACAACAATTTCCACATTCTGGGACAATAAAGGGAGTTTCTATTCTATTCTATACTTACGTATGTGTGAATTAAAACTATTATAAATGTTGGAAGCATTAGTAAATGCTTTTAAATGTAATTTAACCAGAATTAAATAAAATTAAACTTGCCCATGATGTACCATGATACAGTTTTATGTTTAAATGATAATCCAATAATTTCGACTTCAACTCGCTTTGAACATATACAACTGTATCAGTAAACCACAGGACCACAGGACCTTCACATTCTTACAAAGAACAACACTGACCTCTTGTGGTTGCACTCTCCATTACATATTCTTAAATCTACAGATACAGCTTTGGGCTTTGATGTTAATTCAGAGGGCCATTTTAATATTCTAAAAGTAAGGATCTGTTCTGTAGAGAGACACACTATTTTCTGGAGAGCAAATTAGAAGTGGCATAATGTGTTGTTCAGTGATAGTTACAGTTAGACTCCACCAAGGCTACCATTTTCTACACATTCTGACTAGTGGTTGAAGGTAACAATGTACATTTACTTGATCACTCTCCTTAGGTAATTTTTTGAGTATCTTTACCTTACTTGAGTGATTTTTTTTCACTCCACTACATTTCAATTTCAAATATTATACTTTCTACTCAACATGACATTCCATAAAGCTGAGAAACTCAGTGTGGATATTATTTTTAGTTTATACTTTTAATTAGGGTGTTAGTTGTTGCTATGGGACTTCCAAAACAAAGTAAAAAAACAAACCACTGGACTTTGTTTTCCAAATTTTAAGACATTTCACTTTCCATCCAGAGAGCTTCCTCAATTCAAAATGTCTGTATGAGCCATAGGCTTTCATTGAGCAGCCAAACAAAATACTTTTTATGGCTTAGAAACATGCAAATTGAACCCCTTTGTGAAAGGGAGTCATTAAGGTCATTGTTGGGATACAAATTAATCGAAAACTGGCCCATACCTCTGTAATGGGGAGTTGTTACTGTTGTTATTGGTCTGGCAATGAGGATTGAGACAGTGGTGAAGAATCAATTCTAATGCAGCGTTATAGGTTTTCAAGAGCTGAAACTTGAATCCACCCCCTCTGTTTAAGGTTGGTTTTTCTATCTTCATGTAAATGGCTTCCTTCAAACCCCTTTCAAACCACCTCTCTTCTTTGTCCAAAAGAAGAGACAGGTATGCTATGGAACCAAGTTCTTCAGTAGTATGAGTTGTGTTCTTTTTTTATGGTAATAGATTAAACCTTAAACCTCTATTCTATTATAAAAGTGTCAGGAGAATCAAGACGATCCTGTTTTGCTTTTGCTTTGTTTTTAAATAAGAATCAATAATCAAAATAGCTGTCCTAAATTGTTTGTGGAATTTTATGCAAAAGTTCTTTACAAGTGGTCTAGAGTTTTTAGCAGAGTAGCTCTATGCATCAATACATCAGGTGGTCTCTGAAAGTTACAAGGTACTTTAAAATTGCTCTGAAATTAAACTGAAGAGTACACAGAAATGTGCTGATATTAGAAAAATGTATTCGTACTTTTGAACACAAAAGTACTTTTAAATCCATGTAATTTTTAATACTAAGTATTTTCAAAAGTGAGTAGTTTGATACTTTAACTTGAGTAGATGTTTGACCTTGTCACTTTTACTTGTAGTTTAATAAGATTTGACTATGAGTATCAGTACTTTTACTC